CACACACACACACACACACACACACACACACACACACACACACACACACACACACACCAGGTGAGTGCTCTACCAAATAAAGGGCTAGTCCTCTAGTGCTTGCTGGTAAGTTACTTTTTAGCAACTTAAACTAGTACACTGTTAATATTAGAAGTAATAAACTGACAGTTTTAATGTTACATGTAGTTTAATCTTTAGCTTCAATCTAATAGTAGCTTTATCTCACTTTTAGGTAAAGACTAAAAACTTTGTTCTTAACATAACATCTAATCATTGGCATTAGGCCCCAGTAGTAGTTTTTGTTTATTTTTGAAGTTGTGTCTAAAAAGCAATATTCTTGTATGCTAACTTAATTTGTAGTTTCGAGTCCTAAGTATAGTATTATTTTACATTCATGTTATACTATGTAAAGATTATAATCCTAATAAAAATGTTTAACTTATGATGTCAGCTTTTGATAGTAACTTTATTTGGCTTTCAGGTTAAACCAAAAGAGTTGTCTCCTACATCTGGAGAACAGACATCATGAAGTACTTTATTGTAGTATCATTAGTATCAATGAATTGCCTTTTTTTTTAAAATATATATATATATTTGTAGGTATATTTGTCCAGAAATGTTAATTGTCATTAAGTGGTACCTAGTTTTTGGCTTTGGTGAAATGAATAAAGTAAGATGTGTTTCAGACTGTATTTTTCTTCAGTGATGATAAATCAAAATTACATTTTTTCTTTTTCTTCTTTTTACCTTTTCATTAAAGTATGAATTTAGAACAAAATGTATTTTACCAATTAGTATTATTTTCACTGAATACATATTGTTGTAATATTTTTGTTTTTTGCATTATACAGTACATTTGATGAACTAACATATGACTGTAAATATTTTAGTTGCATTATTTTCAATTGGTCTGCTATTTATTTCAAATCAGAAGTATATAAAAACAGCATTTAAGATATGAATTTTTCTCTTAACACATAACACTGTCAAGAATTGTTATTCAGTGTCAGAATTTGTTAGATTGGACCAGTAGCAGCAAAAAGCAGAAAAGAAATGGTGTGGACTGATTAAGTGTGTCAATGTATCGAACGTGTTGCTTGTTTTGTACTACTGCTGGAATCACCAGCTTATGGGTTTCCCATCTTATTTTGGAAATTAGCTAATAAAAACTGAACCAGTGTTTGTTTTTCTTACCTATTTATAAGATATATATAAAATTGACCATGGTTATAGTAAACTGATCAGTTCCCCATCAAAGTTTACTATATTCAAATGTTTACTGTGTCTGGAGGTGGCTCAGCAATGCAATAGTTCTGCTAGAAAGGACTAATAAAGATTTCACAAAGCAAAAAATCATTTATTGATAAGAAAACAGTACAATAACTATCAGATGCACTGACAGTACATTACAACTGAAAATTGACAATAATTATTCATCTTTAGAAAAGAAGTATTTAGTTGACATTTGCTTGTGATTGGAAGCAATTTTTTGGTCAATGAATGATTATGCTTACTGTATGTGAGGATTTGCTATCTCTTTGACTGCTGAAAACCAATGAAGAGCATTGATAGCTTGCAATACTTATTTGTGGGTGGGTTTTTCAAAATTGTTGTCGCTATCACCCTCCTTGTCTATTCGTTGGACTATAGATGACCTGGCAGACATTGTCTCAGCAATAAGTTCCTTGTCAGTGAGCTCTACATGTGTATTGACTTTCTAGTCGACAACTATGAGGTTGTTGAATTCTTACATGGTGACCTCTTTTCAAATAACATTGTCAAATGGATCCAAACTTACAACATCCTCAACTTTCTTTTGAAATGAATTACGTTTGAGCCACCCTTGCAAAAATAGTTCTTGATCATCGACTCTATCACCATCTTTCAATCCTCAACAATAATCATCAAGCATCCAGTAGATCAGTGTTTTTATTCATTGATTCAGTAGAAACTGAGTTGTCTGCATCTAGAGTTTTGGAGTATATGACAGAGTAAAATGGAGTGGTAATGCACTTTCAGATTTTGAATGATTCCCATATCAAAGGGTTGCATCAGTGATCTTGTGTTTGGAGAGAAAAATTCCGGTTTGATGTTTTGTTTTTTGGACACATTTAGAACGGATGGGCTGAAAAATTTTGGTTTTCTTCACTCAAACTCCGTGTTCCACGTATGAATCCATTCAAAAATAGAACTTATCATCCATGCCTTGATTGAACTGTTATTGTCAACAGGCAGCTTGGATAGGTCTTTTGGGAAGCATCATGACTTTTTGGACTTTCTGATAACAAGAAGAGGACACTTCTTGGTGCCAGTCATGTTAACACATGCTAGAATAGTGATTCTCTCTTTTGGTTGTTTACCACCAACAGCCTTTTTCTCATAGGCCCCAATGTAACCACATGAATCCACTAGCTTGTAAAATAGACCTGTTTCATCAGCATTGAAGAAGTCTTCAGGAATATATGATGCGAGGATGGTAAGCAGTTTATGCTTAATCCACTTTTCAAACACTGGATCGTCTGCAGACTTTGCCTCTCCGTGTTGTACTTTAAATGATAAGTGTAATCTGCATTTCCAGCATGTGAACCATCCATAATTTGGCGTGCATGTATCGATGCTCATTTTCTCGGCCAGCTCATCTGCTTTGTGCCTGATTAACACACTGCTAGGAAGAACATCTTGAGCACCTTTTCTTTGAACCAAAGGAACAGTTCATCTTCCATATTTCCCTCTTACATTGTCGTGTTTCTTTTGTCTGTTCATCTCGAAAACGAACTTCCAATTCTCACCGTCCCCTTACTTACTCCCCACTTTTCAACAATTGTAGCTTTCGTCACACCAGTTTCATTACACTTGACAATAGTCTTGCACGTTTGCTCCATTGTCAATGCCACTCTTTTACCTTCCTTTTCATCTGAAAAGAACAAAAGAAATGTGCTATACGACTGTATGCAACGTGTTGAAAGGTAGCGCAGAAATGTACCCTGATGTTTGTTTACTGTAAGCATGTTCGCTATAACCATCGACCACTGTGTGTATATATATATATTGAGTTTGCCATTTTAGTAATGTGACAAATGCAATCCCCTTTGTGGTTTTATCAAAAATCAAAATTAATGCCCCCCCTTCCCCCCGTGTTATTTGCAAATAAGTTAAGAACTGTTGGGTCAATTTCCCTATATTTTTTATAATAATATGGAGTTTTTGATAATGATATTGATAGTAATATTTAATATACATAATATTAATTCATAATATTTAAAATATCTTTCCAAAGAAAATTTAAATATTGTAAGAACAAATTTGTTTCAAATACCTTTTTCTTTTTATAGGTTATATTTGACTTAAATCATTAGAAGGTTAAGAAGAAATATTTTAAGTTTATTTTCATGTGAATTAGATTAAAATATATCATGAACCTCGATATTTATTATAATTGTTATTTGTATATTTTATTCATTACCAAGTGACCTTTGTTGTAGAAAAATATGAAGAAAGAGCTTTTAAGTCATGATTTGCTTGTAATACAATGATCATAAGTTAATTAATAGCTACATGTTGAAATATCTCTTGTTTCGTAACAGTGAAAGAGAAACTACTAATTTGCCCTGTGATAGTAGAATAAAAGTTGTATGCCCTGATTTATAGGAGTTGAATGGGAGTTACTGTTCCATAACAGCAGAAGAAACTCTAATAATACGGTCTGTTCACATGGTAAAACCTAAGTGTTTAATAGTTGAAAAACTGCTCTGAGTATGAGATGTAGTAACATGAAGATTGGTTTAGAACACTGTTTTTCAAACTGAGGTCCACCGAGTCACGAGGAAACTCCAGGGGGTCTGCAAGTGGTGTCAGAAATATCATAAAAATATGATTTATAAAATTAAATTTGTGTGAATTAAAACGTTTAATTTTGGAATGCAGCTTTTCATGTACACGGAATATTTTTTTCAAAACAAAAAAACATTGATAGATTTAGGGGTCCACAAAAATGTTTAAATTGAATGGGATCCTTGGGCTAAGGTTTGAAAACTGCTGATCAGGAAAAATAATGAGTTTATTGAAAATCGTATAAAATGTTGAACATTTTCTATAATTGATACTTGAAACTGTCGGTATTTGGGGAAACTCTATAATTACAAAATTGAGGGAAAACAAGACAATGGTACGTTTCACAAATACATAATTTATTCATGACCATGGTTTCGTCAGTAAAGGCATCATCAGGTACAGACTGAAATGTATGTATTTGTGAAACATACAATTGTTTTGTTTTCCCTGAATTTTTATAATACATTTTCATCAATGTAGCTGGTTCAAAACACGTTGTTGTTGTTTTTGGACTATTACCGCTTCTTAAATTTAATGTTCTTGCAGACCTTTAAGATCAGGCAGATTGTGAAGAACTTGGTGTGATAAGTTATTGTAATGAAACAACATAGATCTAGGCTTTAAATTTGTGATAAAATTACATTAACTGCAGATGTTGTTGTTTTTTTCCTCTGACGGTCCATGTTAGGTGTAAACAGACCAGTGAGAAGATTGGGTAAAAATAAGTGAGGGAGTAAAAGTGTAAACAGATCATCTTCTTTAGTAAAAATGTGTATATGTTTCTTTGACTTTTGAATTCCAAGAACAATTTTGATAAAATGACTTGATCCCTACAGAATATAAATAAAGAAGAACTTACAAGCGTTGTGAAGGGGCTTCAAAAATGTGGAGATCAAGGAATTTGGGGGTTCACATCTTAACTGGATCAATTTACTTGGATATGTTAGGGGTCATTCGAAATAAGTATTTATTTACAAGACTCTTTGCTTCTCAGTGTTTATAAAGTATCGTTCAACAGTATAGTTCAAAAACAAGAAGTTTTTTTTGTTAATATCTGTATTTTTGTCGTGTGAAAGTACACAATTATTAGTTTTAGTTTTTAAAACTTACCTAGCCGTCGGTAAGTTTGAGGGGCTTATAACATTAAAACTTTAGTTTCAAACTTAGTGGTGTGCACCGCATAGTTGATCCATTCTGCAGCTTTATTTTTGCCTTTTATATCGCGGATAAATCTTCACGTTTACTATTAAATTGAACGTTTATTATGCTGCTGAAAAAAAAGCTACCCCATTTATTATCACTTAACAATTGGCTAAACTACCCAGTGGTTAGCGTGCCGGACTGTGGGTTTACATAGAAATAAAAGATCGCAATCAGCACTTTAGGGTCGAGAGTGCCTCATAATTGTGATGGTCAAATCCCACTAATTAGTCCGACAGGGGCTGGTTGTGAGTTTGTTGACTAGCTGCCTTTTCTTAAGTCGATCAATTCAAAATTGAGGATGTTGAGTAGCTTTGCGCAAGTATCCGAAAACAGTCGCCCCCAGTGGTATGTCTGCGGACTTACAATGCTAGAAACCGGGTTTCGATACCCGTGGCGGGCAGAGCACAGATAGCCCATTGTGTAGCTTTGTGCTTAACTTCAAACAAACAAACCGAAAACAGTCAATCAACTGTCTAGTTTTGAAAGTGTTATTACAGAGTTTTTTCGTTAATTGAATGTCTCATTTCTTGAGAAAAATAATAATCTGAATGTAGGGGATAATTTAACTGCTTAACATCAAATTCCGAGAACGAATATGAAATCAGAAAACGAAAAGCAGAAACCATGATTTAAGTTTTATGCGTTATTAAATTATGTGCTGCCACCTAGACGTATAGTAATTATGTACACGCACAGCCAATTGAGCATACAACCACTTATGACGAAAACAAAACTGGAACGCCTTTCATCACTTATCAGCATGATTTTTATGCTTAGCTACCATTGCAGTAGCATGTAATCTTTTTCTCGGGAGATTTAGCAAATACCTTCAAGGAAGTGTTATGTTCTAGATTTGGAAGGTGTTTTGACATAGGTATGCTACCCTCGTTGTTTAATATGGAGTTTCATAGAAAACGTTGGTCTTTTGCCATAGATACTGTTACGTCTCTGTATGTTTGCTTGTTAATTCTTACAAGATACAAGCCCTTTTTTTATAAAACTTGTTTATTCTTCCTCAATACAACTTTGTAATGTACTTAATTTTCACAGTTACACACACACACTATAGTTCACAACAATTCACTCACTTTCTATCGCGCTTAGACTTAATTGTCCGTTCCCGCAAACTATTGTTCCGATCTCTGTGTCTGCTATCCTCAGTTCCCGCCGACCGTAACCGCTGTTTTTCTTTCTCTCTGCCTGTTTCGTCTCCGCTACGTGTTTGTCTCCACTATTGCTTCGACTCTACCTCTCTCTCTCACTGTCTAGCGCACTTATATACGATAATACTGCCTGTTCTAGAAACTTCTAAGACTCTCAACACGTGCTACCAGCGTCAGTTGACGCAACGCTGTCGCAACACACTAGCGAATCTTCTAGAATATTCGTCACGTGACCCCGCTGTCGTAATACACTAGCGAATCTTCTAGAATACTCGTCACGTGACCCCCCCCCCCCACTGTCGTAACAATACTTATTGTTCTCGGTCATTCACCTAAGGTGTTATACTTGTGTTTCCTTTCTGTAAGTTTGTACATATTATGTGAAAGTAGACAGTGATCTTTTACCTACTGGAAGTCAGGTAACCCTCGAAAATACTACTTCACTTATTTTTAGGTGGAAATGACCAACAGTCACCTCAGTGGCACGGACGTTCTGAGAAGGTAGCATTATTGTTTCTTGTGTTTAATGCAATGTTTTCTCAGTCTGGATGATACAATTTTAGAGATCTGCAGAGCTAGATATATGGACAACTTTCTCCAGTAAAGGCACCTTCCTTCGTGAATACACACTTTAATTGTTTTTGTGTCTTGAATAAAAATTGTTTAATTTTGTTATACATTGTATTCATTATCTTTCATATCTTTAAATTCAGTTTAAAGTCAGATGATTCAGATTTGCTCCGATGTGGATTTTTTGTTGGACTCCTGTTATTCTACAGAATGTACCTCGTCACTCTCAGGGGAAATCAGTGCACCTGAGAATAACACAGATGTACTATATTGTATGACGTTCAGTATGTTAGATCTTTAAAGAGCCAAAGACAATCTGTTTCGTAGCCATGAATGTTATCTGGTAAATAAATGTGTTTTCACCTAAGTTTGGAAAGATTATACAAAATTGATTTTGTTTCATTTGACCTCCTACTGTAAATGATGTATAACATCCTAGACTGAAAATGATTAAAAATGTTGTTGTTGCTATAAGTGAGATGTCATGTTCTAAATGTGTAGCACCTTTTATTCACATAATGTCTTGATGTTATGCGAATGGACAAATATTTCGTGATTGCACTTTGTTGGGTTATGTAACTAGATGGCAGGTTTCGTTATCAAGTAATAAAGTATACTGTGTTTTAATTTTCAGGGGATGCATATTTTGTTACCAAGTAACATATACGATACTGCTTGATGCTTCAGTGGTCCCAGTTTTAATTAGCATGTAAAGTTTATAATAGGCAAGCTGAAGTAAGCTTTTTTTGTAGATGATAAAGATAGTCGTTTTTCGTGGTCGCTAGTGGAAAATTTTAAGCATGCAGCAAAATAAATTAAAAATTATATTCTATACATAAAATTAGTGGCTGTTATTTTACTAAAATCCCTTGGGACACTTAGTTACATGATTAAATATTGGATCATACATATAACGTACACTTCTGTTATCATGAAGAATGTATTTATGTAGTTTTTCTCTAGATAATTATGGTTAAGCGCAAAATTTAGATGTTGGATCGACTTGGTTAAGTTTCGGTTTCTACTTATGAATAATAAACTGTTGCTCTGTTCATTATGTTCTTTAGATGTGATCCAATGCGATTAATTTATTTAACAATTTCTTCTTCAGATGTGATCCAATGCGATTAATTTATTGAACAATTTCTTCTTTAGACGTGATCCAATGCGATTAATTTATTGAACAATTTTTTCTTCAGACGTGATCCAATGCGATTGATTTATTGAACAATTTCTTCTTTAGATGTGATCCAATGCGTGGTTCATCACGTTTTACTTATAGATCAAGTATTTCTTCGAACTGGTGTGTTTTCGTCAAACTCTGCTTTATTTCCACAACCACGTCACATTGCAACACGTCAAGCCTTCCACTTCTTCATAGCGACTTCCTGTTCACAGCTTTTCTCGGATGCTTTGCAGCGACGTTTTCACACTTTAATCATAATCAACTGCTTAAGAAACCACTTGTGAATAACTTCTGATTACTAATGAGCCTTAACTCGCTTAACTAAATCTAAGCCACTCGTTCAACCACCTACGTCATTCGTGTAAATTTAAACCACAATTCCGCGGTTTAAACCGAAATTCCTGCAAATCTTATGAAAGTATGGAATACATTTCTAAAGTTTTCATAGCTTCTTTCAATGTTCTGTAGGACGCTTGATGTTTCACTTTCACAAGTAAGACATTTACATTATTTGAATCGAAAAATCCATATAATTTCAAACATTACAATGTCAATTTCGTGGCAATCAACATGGATGGAAAACAGATTCCCACTCGACCATTACAGCTAGATTTTGATGCTGAACTATATGTACGGAACATTATTTAGTGGAAAAGGAAAACAATTTCAAGATCAAGGAAATGATATAGGTTATGACGAATACTGGGGAGGACATACAGTCTTGATCTTTCACCGGATCTGTGCTGGAGATTTTCACTTTAACTTAGTGAAGCAAGAAAATTTCCTAATTGAAATACATTTCGGTACTGTCTTACCCAACACTATAAATGTTCTAGCATATGCAGAATGTTGGTCAATTTTCGGAATTGATCAGTCTTGAAACATCATAACTGATATCTAAGAAGCTATGAACACAACAGAAATTTTCGATACTCTTGCAAGATTTGCGTATGCAAAAAAGTTTGGAGGTGTATTTGCTAGTGGTCAAGTACCTGACCATGGAGAAAAACAATTATACATCATCAACCTGAACCTGAGTCATAAACCCAGTAGCCACTGGGTCTGTATTTATTTTGATCCGTTATGACTACGTCCAAATAATCTGAACTCAAGGAAATTCATCAAGAAGAACTGTCGAACTTGTATTTACAGTCAGAAAATACTGCAAGGACCATATTCATCTGTGTGTGGACAGAATTGTATATATCATGCTTATTATCGTTTTCGAAATGAAAACTACTAACTAAATTTGAATTTTACAAAGATGCTAATGATTGTTCATGATTTTGTTGTAAAACGTTTTCATGTAAATATGTCCTTAATAGATGTGCCTTTTTATGTAGATCAGATTGCAAAATCTTTATTGTGAGAAAAATTAATAAATTGTTTGTTTTTAATTAAGCACAAAGCTACACAATGGACTATCTATACTCTGCCCACCACGGGTATTGAAACTCGTATTCTAGCGTTGTAAGTCCGCAGACGTACCGCTGTGCCACTGGGGGCCAATAAATTGGTAAAAAGAAATGTTGTGTCCAGAATTTTTTATTATAATCATGTTACTGAAAATTATTAATTACTTGATTTATAAGTAATAAGTCAAACAGTAAGTTTTAATTACTGTATGATGTCGTCCTTTTTAGGACAGGAAATGTAATTAACTAATAAATTAATGATTTAAACCCATTAAATATAGTCATGTTGAGACACATATCGTGTGTGTCATTGTATATGACAGCATGGCGATCTCTGTTTTCGGAGAACTATTATGTCATAGCCGTCTGTCTGGTATCGAACTATAATTTCAACCCTTTGTGGACCTATGACGCCATGGAGGCCTAGAAACACACCCCTAACAACGCACCTTCTGGTGACAATTTATGGAACTATTATGTCATCGTCTTTGATGGTATCATCCCCCTCTATTGCCTGGCGACTCCCCACTGAGGCGGTATCCTTTGGGCAGTCAAGAGCAGCCCTAACTACTTATATTCTTTCATACAAAATCATATGTTACCCATGGATAAATCAGTTGCAATAATGTCATCAAATCTTTCATTCACAAGCCATGGAACCCATTAAAGTAAAAATGGAATAGTTGGCTCATGAAAATTTAGATATCGCCGATAGTGTTCCTCAGATATATAAAAGAAAGTTGAAATCCAATTACGATGACGAGGAACTAATAATGGTTGGAGACGACTTGAATGGGTAATGAAAAAAAACTTTAATATAAGTTTAACATAACAGCAAATGTACATCATTTGTCATCATCAAGCCGTCTCCAACCATTATGAAATCCAATTAATTAAACAAAAACACGTCAGTTTTGTTCTATCATGGAATAATCAAGGATAATTAACGATTAGTGGAAGATTCGTCCTGGACAATGATTTAAACAACCTGATCAATGATGTACTATGCAAACAAAATAGTTTGCAGAACAATTATCAGATATGAATATTACACAAGAGCTCGTGGGAAACATTAACAAATTCCAGAACATAAAGCATGGAGATCAATAAAAAACTTACAGAACAAGACACAAGTGTGTTGTATCTAAATGGGCTTATTTTTAATAAAGTATCACTGTGTTATTTGTTCATTTGTGTCTTGGTTGTTATCATGAATTGTTGTCAACCCTTTAAACTAAGTAATATTTTGAGTCGAGTAAAAATTAAATTTGCTTGTTGTAATGAACAAATTAATACTTCTTTTAGAGGGAGAGTTGATGGTAAACAAAGTAAAAGTAGATGTCAGCTATTCAGCCAAGTTATAAAGTAAATAATGTCTGATGTGCTTCAATCCATTTAGTATAATCGTACTCACTCCGCCAGTTATGGTGGAGTACAGCCTTTAGTTAGAACTGTATTCATTAAGTTAAAGGTCAAGATGGAGACATGATCACTGAAACCATTACAAAGCTGTATTACAGACCCATTGCAAGCAAACATTTTAAAGCATATATATTGATATGAAAAATGTCATGGTCAGTCTATCCCATTTGAACAAGGGAGAGTCATCATAACACTTTGTTTTCATTGTCTGTGATATCATGAGAGTGCCTTATTATCTTCATCCATCCATCTACGACACACATTATGATTACCATATTATGCTGGAAGTTACTAGCAATGGTGTTAGGAATTGGAGGATGTATTGATTAATCAGTTTTGCTCAGTTATCCAATTTCTGAAACAAGGAGGCTTAGCTGTAGGTAAATATGGTGTTCAGTATGGTATAAATTTAGCATCAGATGTGATACAAGGAAATCCTTTTGTCGAGGCTGGAAAACAATAAACAACACAAGGAACTCAGAACTTGGCTCAAGATGCCAAACAATTTGTGAAATAGATTGTTTAACCTAATATAAAGAAGAAACCTAAAAGCTTAGGGTTCAAAATTGTTAAAACCAATAGATGAAGATCACCAGCTTCAGACTATTTTGATAAGTACTCGTGACCTTTTTTTCCACATAAAATGTCCTGTAAGTGCACAAAGTCTGAATTATGTCTTTTTTTCTCTCCTTCTCACAGACAGTGATTGACGACAATAACTAGACTAAGTATTATCCTTTAGCTCCAGTGGCTGACAGAGGACCCGTCAACATAAGAAAGGAAGAAGATATCTCTGTTCCTGTCAACCTCTTCATTCTCAAGTTGATGCACCCGTGAACAACACCTCATCTCTTCATCTCACAATCCTTATGCTTATAAGGTCTATATAAAAACTTTACTGAGTTATTGTGGAGAAGCTAAGAGACATCATTTGACTCTTTATGTGGGCAAAGAACATGGTGGATAGTTTTGGTGATCTCGACTTTAATGATGAGATAAAAGATCAATACAGAGCGAGACGCGTGTTTTCAGACAGTCAACATGATCAGGTGCCTACATTTGGATATGGTTTTGCAGAACAAATTCTTGCCCATTGGCGTAAAAACTGTCTCATACGAAGTAAAGATGCAATTTGTATTATGTCCATTGATGAACCAGAATTCAAAGTTGTTTTACTGTTTCTTTCTATCTATGATGGAAAGGTCAAGATCAGCCCATCAGCCACATTCTAAAACTAAATATCATTTGAAATATTTAGGAAAACATGCAAGCATATATTTCTTAGTATGTATGGATAATGATGCATTTAATGGATCTTGAAAGAAAAATGTATACGATTTCAAAGATTACAATATAATTTTATTAGAATCAATGTGGTTGGGAAACAGATTTCTGCTCGGCTTTCACAACCTGATTTTGATACTTATCTGTGTACATAAAGCTATAAAACTTTATTCAGTATACCAGAAAAAAGAATCTCAAGATCAAGGAATTGATATTAGTTATGACGAATACTTGGGAGGATATACACTCTTTACCTTTGATCTGACACCCAATCTATCTACCAGAGATTCACACTTTAACTGGATGAAGCAAGGAAGTTTATGAATTAAGATACATTTTAGCAGGATGTAAACCAACACTATAAACATTCTCGTTTATGCAATGGTTCAGCCAATTTTAGAAATTCACCGATATCTAAAAACTATGAACACTATATAAATTTATTCAATGCTCTCACTACATGTGTGTACACGAGACAAGCTCGAAAGTGTGTTTGTCAGTTGATCAACTATTTAACCATGCAGCAAAACAGATTTACATCATTCATTTGGATCCCAATAATCAACCAGGAAGTCACTGGGTCTGTAGTTACTTTGGTCAAAAAAGGAGAATATTTTGATCTATAATGGACTAAGTTTCCATAATCCCAACACAAGAAGAATCATTGTGAAGAACTGTTGAAGGTGGACTTACAATAGAAAAATAGTGCAAGAACTTTATTTGTCTGTGTGTGGACAATATTGTATTTATTATACATATTATCATTGTCGACATATGTCAAAATGAAAACTCTTAACTAAGTTTAGATGTGATAAAGATAGTAATGATATATTTGTTCATAATTTTTATTTCAGAACACTTCCACATGAAAACACCCTTAAGTTTAGATTTACTATTACACAGAAATACATATATGCATTCTCCTTGATATCACTATTTTCTAGAATAACCCCAATGACTCCCACTGTGAAGAATGTAACGGTTTTGTGTTTTGCACTTCAAAGTTAATATTACATACAAAACCATAGGGGTTGTGGACATACTATTGGATATTATGACAAAACATAAAATTAGTAAGTATTTCATTTCTTTTTGCTTAGTTTCTGTTATAGAAAATCTTAAAAAGTTTACTTAAGTGATTGGTTCAGTCATTCTTATCATTCATGATAACTTCTCATCATAAACACGTGTACACATTGTTCTTCTACAAATCACACAAAGCGTTGTCTTAGATTCTTGGAACTGACCCCTGACTGTGATATGTATCAGAGCACCATTTGAAGAAACTTTGTACATATGAATAGCTTAGGAAAAGATATTGTGCTTTGTACTTGTGGCAAATGATATACAGTAAACAGTTTTGTTAATTTCAGTTGAGTAATATGAGTTTTTATACTTCAACATGAATGACCTGCAGTAATTCACACAAATTGGTAAGTATAGATTTTTTATTTAGTTTCTATAACTGTCGATAAGAATAAAAAACAAAACAGGGCATTAAAGGTTATGAATACTGTCTCACTTCATATTTTCCATTTAGACTATTCCTTTACAGGACTATTTACTTGCAAAATAAACTAATGTAATTCTAAAAGGTGCATTATGCAAATTAGATGTAATATATGAAATTAATTTTAGGTAACCATAAGGCTAGTTTATTATCAAATTGAAACACTAAAGTTGACCATAATGATTATGCAGTGTTAAGAACTACAGAGAATGAAATAATAGTTTTTTTATAATGTTTGAATGATAATATATGAAACAGTCCTCTACTAAATTGTATTATAGGAATATTAATGAAGTACGCTCTAAATTTGGTAAATCTGTAATATATGAAATATTAATTTTCTGACTTTGTTTATTATTGAAGTGAAAACTACAAAGTTGATGGCATAGTCACACGTGTTCAGACCCTCTGTTAGTTCACTGGTGAACCACATAACTGCCAGGCATTATAAATGACCTCATCATCACACTTTTGCCCCCTAGTGGCACAGTGGTAAGGCTGCAGACTTATAATGCTAAAAACTGGATTTCGATACTCGTGGTGGTCTATTATTTAGCTGTGTCCTAAACTACAGATAAAGATAAAAGTCATAAACTTTAAAATTATCCACCCCACCATTAGTAACATGTCCTCTGGTGACACACAATTGAGCTATCCACCTTCTACTATAACTGCCCTCTGGTGCGACTTTGTTTAAGTGTGACATCCCAGGTCTCAAAAGATGCCCTGCTTTTTATCGC